AGAGATCTTCTTTCACTTGTTTTGTAAACTAAACTTCCTCAAGGGATTTCACTTACAGAAAGCAATCCTTTGCTTTAATAAAAATGACAACGACAACAACAACAAAGATTAAAAACCATCACACTACACTTTACCTGTATCACTGAAATCTATGAATTCTTTTGACAGAAGATTAGTAAGAAGTTCCATAATGAGAAGTAGGTCTTGATATTGCTCTTCTTCCGCTGTAACATCTATTCTTTGCCGCCCTAAATTATTCTTAGAATATACTTGCAACAAAGTAAGGCAGGCTTCATATAAGTTCATAGCTTTGGACTGTAAGAAAATATGCATAAATTATGCTACTTGGTAAAATCCAGGTGGGAAACAAATACAGATATTAAAGAAATTTTAAAATATCTAGATAAACTTACTCTGAATTCCAATAGTAGCTTCAATACTTGTTTTAAACTATATTAAAACATTAACAATAATTTTTAAAAAGCATACGGGTACAGTTATGTTTAAAATATTAGTCCTTTTTTACCAATAAATTTTAGGACAAGAATTTATATTCATTCAATATGACTTCCTCTGAATTATGAGTTCTTTTTAAAAGTCTTTTTGAAAAATCATTTGGAGGAGCAAAAATATTATTTCAGATAATACCGATTAAATTTGAAGAAAAGAGTCTATCATTTTATTATTGCCTTAAGGAATTTTAATCCTGAAGGGATTAGGAAGTGCTTACCTCTCCAAGATAACATATCTGTTTATGTGCAACTTCAACAAAAACTTCTATAATGAGATTGACAGTCTCTGGGGTATTTTTGTAAACTTCCATCAACCCAATGCAATTGGTAAGAAAGTCCATTAAAAAATTAAAAAGGATTGCTACGTTATCGATCTGGGTAGCCTCGGCAATGCCACACAGCGCCTCCAGTGTGGCGGTGATTTCCTGCTTCACTTCTTCTTGCTGACACATCTGCTGAAAGTTTTCTTGGTTTATCACTCTTAAGAATCTCTGCTGAAGTGGCTGAAGGACCTATAAAAATAAAGCATGAATTTTCTAAAAGTTCAAAACATTTCTAATTATTGGGGGCGGGAGAAGCACAGAAAACAAAGAATATCTGAACCACACATTACATTCCTCATTTTAAGGTCATCATAACTTCTGGCACACATAAAGAAATTATACACCAGTCACGGAACGTGACTTTCTCAAAGCCATTTACAGAATTCTGCCACTTGCCACTTCCTCCCATCTCTTTCCAAATGATTAATCAAAAAAAAGGGTGGGGGATAAGAAATTAAGCATCCACAGTAGGGGTCAAGAAACTTTTTTTTATAAAGAGCCAAACAGTAAATATTTTAGATTTTGCAGATTATACTATCGCTGGACGAACTACTCAACTGCTTTAGTACAGATGCAGCCATATACAAGAAGCAAATAATCAAGCATGTTGTTTCGATAAAACTTTATTTACAAAGACAGCAGGCCACATTTGGCCCATAGGCTGCAGTTTACCAACCTCTGCTCTACAGGGTCAAGCCTAACACAAAGCTCTCAGCCATTTTTTTCTCTTTCCTCAACTTCTCTTGGCATAAAACATAACTTCATCAGATAATCTATTCTGCCCTGAATATAACAGTGAGTGCTCACAAAGATAGTATCTTATTCCTTTCCTTCCCTTCCTTCTCTTTCCTTCCTTCTTTCCTTCCTTCCTTCCTTCCTTTCTTCCTTCCTTCCTCCCTCCCTCCCTTTTTCTTTCTTCCTTCCTTCCTTTCTTTCATCTATTTATTTATAGACAAGGTCTTACTTTGTCACCCAGGCTGGAGTGCAGTGGTGTCATCATAGTTCACTGCAACACTGAACTCCTGGGCTCAAGTAATCCTCCTACCTTAGCCTCTCAAGTAGGTGGGACTATAGGTGCACACCACCATGAGTGGCTTTTTTATTTTTATTTTATTTTTTTAGAGATGGGGACTTGCTATGTTGCCCAGGCTGGTCTTGAACTCTTAGCCTCAAGCGATCCTCCCGCCTTAGCTTCCCAAGGTGCTGGGATTACAGGTGTGAGCCAGCATGCCTGGCCTTAATTCTATTCAAAGCTGTCCATATGATTATACAGTTATTTAAAGTAAGAATAGATAGGCTGGTTTCTCCTGGTTCTGAAGTCACAAATTATTGTCTAATTCTGTTACTATGCCCCTTCTCAAACATTCTAGACACAAGGACTGCAGGCTAGCAACCTACTTATATACTGGTAACTCTTGGTCCCTGATTTAAGGCTTTATGTGTCCATGGTGGCTATTCTGGGTTGAATTACGTCCCCCCCAAATTCATAAACTTTGAGCCACTAACACCTCCGAATGTGATCTTATTTGAAAATAGGGTTGTTGTAGATGTGATTAGTTAAGATGAAGTCATATAGGAATCAGGTGGGCCCCTCATCCACTATAACTGGTGTCTTACAAAAAGGGGAGTTTTGGATGCAGAGCCCTATGCCAGAAGAACACCACATGAACATGAAAGTTCAAGGTGACACACTTACAAATTAAGGAATGTCAAAGATTGCCAGTATACCCCCAGAAACCACAAATTTCCCCTCACAGCCCTCAGAAGGAACTAATCTTGCTGAAACCTTATCTTGGACTTTTAGTCTCCAGAAGTGGGTAACAATAAATTTCCGCTGTTTAAGTTATTATGTTTGTGGTATTTCGTTACAGCAGCCCTAGGAAACAAATACAGCGTTTAATCTGCATATCCATGTTCAAGACAAGGGAATGTTTCACTGATTCTTAATGAAGATTTAATAAACCTGTTCAGGCTCTTGTCTGAGTTGGGGAAAGTGTGCCTAAAGTGCACAACGCTTTATAATATTTAATGTCATCACATAAGCAGGTATGGACAAATCCTAAGATAATATTTGTAAAATAAGAAGCTTCAATCTATTCATTAGGAGGAAAAAAATATCAGAAAAGCTGTAACTGAAACGTTTATGTCTGTCTCCCCAGACTATTTCCTGGCAACACATAAATAAAGCAACTACAGGATTACACAGAAGGATGCCCTCGAAACAGGAGGCATTGTTACCTCTGTCCAATACTGTTGTTTGGTTTCCGTGTCCATATGTGCGAAACCTCCTAAGACTAGAGCCTTCATCAGTGTTCTCTGCACGGGACTTGACAAGAAATTAAGAGGTGGGCTTCGGCTTGCAAACTGTTTAGCTAAGTTCCACCAGTTTTCACACTGAATTACTAAGTTTGCCCTACAGGAAGAAATAACAAAACATAAGATGTATCACTGTCATTATACATACCCACCAAGAAAACAAAAAGTGAAGATAACTATATTTAATTAATTTTTAAAGCATAGTACAGTAAACTCAGTATAGACTTGGGAGTCACACAGGCTTGCATTTAAATCCCACTCGTCGTTTGACAATGTAAAATTTATTTCATCTCTCTTAATCATCAGTTTTCTATAATTTGCAAAATAGGGATAACAAGAGAAATAACAGCCCTAAATTTCATGGTTGAGACTGATATAATGATTAAATGAGATACTATACATCGAGTACTTAGCATTATCTAAGGATTCAATAAATAGTAGCCAACTGACAATAGTAATAATAATAGTAATGATGACATTCCTATATAGTAAGAAAAATGAAAACATTTGCAGAATTTGTTGTAGAAATCACTAAAAAGTTTACTTTGCAGTGTTAGAGTTTAAATATCAGATTTCCTCATCTTTAAAATGAGGATAATACTAACAGGCTGTCTGAAAAATCAAATGAGCATATTCCATATGGAAGTGTTTTTAAAATTATGTTAATATATTACTAAATAAGACTTATGTGTTACTCATAAGGTTCTTCGATGCCAAATCCTTGACTAGTCAATGCAATCCTCACTTATAACACACGAAAGCCCCATCTGCATCTCTAACAGTAGTGAGATATAGTTTTAAAAAACACACTACTCCCAAAATGTAGGCTTTCTCTGGACTGAAGACTGCGTAACTGTCTGCCAGTCAAAACGACAACACTGGAAAAAGTTCCTGCCCACACACAGCCTGCCTCCAGCAAGGGGCTTACCTTTCCCTTCTTTCCACCAAAGTGACAAGGAGCTGCACAGTGTCGTTTGCCAGGTCCTGCTCACTGCTCCAGACCGAGAGGTTACTGATGACTTTTTGTAAGAGGTAGCCAATAATCCACTGAGAACCCTCCGTATCTGCTCCAAATGCCGTACTGAATGGCAGACTTATCTTAAAAGTGAAAACAAATTTTTTAAGGTCAGAGAGAAAGATCAGTGGGAAAAAAAAATCACAGAAAAAAATCAAACTGAAATTAGCATTTAAATCTAAGTAGTGCTTACTTCACATCAATTTTATAAATGTATTCAGCTTTGTAAATCCAAAAAAGGATCCCTCAATCCACTCACATTTTCCAATGTCATTTTCTGGTCAATTTTCATTATTTTCATATTATTAATACACTAATGTAATATTTAAACCAAATATAAAGAAAATCAATTAATCTAGTCCCAAATAATAATCTGTACCTTTACATGTGGTTAAAATAAACTGAATCAAATGATGTGCTCTAAGAAAAGCTATTAAAACAGCATTCCATTCAACAGTCTGTTCAATGTGGAAGATGTTAAACTGTTCTTAAAGCAGTTACATTTTGATGAAAAAGGTCACTACAAAAAATGTTCCTGCTTCTATAACTGTAATTAACATAAATCCAAATGAAGTTTAACAGTTTTACATTCTGACCTGATCATACAGTTTTTCATCCACCAGAAGGTAAGTCTTTGCCCAGCGTTTTAAAAACCAAACAATATCTTTGCCCATTTGGGGGCTTAGTAGATGTGTGAGATCTGCTCTTATTGCACGAGATTCAACTTCTGAAACTCTTAGAATGGCAGACAACAGCCTGTAGGTATAAAACAAAAGTAATTTATTCTTTTATTTATTTAGTGGTTGTCTAACCATATTTTTTTTCCTTAAAAGTCCATTTTTGTTTTTCAACTCTCTGGATTTAAGCCAAGCTATACTTGAAAATTTCCTCAACAGAACTGTAGACAAAGTCCCTTATTATCTCTGGTCTTTCATGAAGAAGGACACAAGACAAAGGAAAGGAAAAGAATCAAAACTAGAGACATCCTTCTGTTGAAGGGTAATTGCATAAGTGAATCTCAGCGTTACTGTCTAAAGAGAATTTTCAGACTGAAAATGCAGAAATACGTCAAAGTAAACATTCAGAGTACGTGCCACGTTCTTCAGGACTCCATCACTGCTTAAAGCTCCCTGCTGAGTACAG